TTAGTATCAATTACTTACTGTAGAGTCATATATTAAATAGCTTAGGTTCTAAATTCAGCACATGCAGGGAAAACGACATATGTTTAAAATTTTTTGAAACCCTAAGGACTGTGCAATGTCAAATGATAATTCTTATGCACACTGGAAATTGAGAGCCACTGAAATAGAAAAGGCAGGACAAAAGGAACTTCTCTATGCAAACGTCTGGGCATGAACTGCTTTTAAAATGACCAGCAAATCCCTAATGGTGAATGAGGGTGGGAGGGGGTGTGAAGAATTCCAGTTTCTGCTTGCAGGGTTCCCTCTATTTTTTTAAAAAACATCAAGCTCCTGTGTGGTTGACATTAGTGTTGTCAATTAATGTTTCTGGTTATTTTCCACCTTCAGACACAATAGGATTGGATGTCCCTACTTCCATGAGGTTGGAGAACAATATGACTTGCTTTAGCCAATCAAATGTGAAGTGATGTGTGTTACTGCTGAGCAGAAGCATTAAAGTGCTGGTAAACAATTCTTCGTTGTCTCCTTCCCTGCTGCAGTGACCAATGACATTCCAGATGGTGAACCCTGAGTACCCAAGAGAGGACAGTAAAGAGCAGAGACTCCAGCAGCATACAATGGATGTGTAGCGTGAGTGAGAAATTAACCTTTGCTGTTTTAAGCCATTCATATTTGGGAGTTGTGTGTTACTGCAGCAAAACCCAGCCTAATCTGACTAATATGCTTTATAGTCTGATATATATTAATAAGTTCCTTTATTGTTATGAAGATTTTTTTAAGTGGTATTACATCTTACAGGGAGAAGAAAGTTCTAAGTAAGCTGGTAAGTTGAATGACCTTGATGCAACTCCATAGCAATTATATGATGCCAAGTTTCCTTCCAAACAGAATTTGTAGTAGCTTAGCAAATACATACCAGCAAACAGAGTAACTAACATAATGATGGAGGGGAGATGGGAATCCATTCAGGGAAAACTGGAGAGGATTGTATCTGGAAGCTTTGCCAAAAGTTAGTAATGAAATATTAAATCATGAATCAGTGAAAGTATTTAGGAGTGGATAATAGAAGAAATTAGTACCAAACGGCTCTGGAGCAAAGGGCTGGGAAGGAGGAAACCAGTGTTTATTGAATGCCTGCTGTGTGCCAGATACTGTGCTACATGCATGGAAAATACAATTTCTTTGTTTACTGGTTTTGCTAAAATTCAATGAAATAGAAACTGAAGCTCAGAAAGGTCAAATAAGTTGTCCAGGGTCACACAGTAACAGAGCGAGGATTCAAACCCATGTTGACCTTGTTCTTAACTCATAAGAACCATAAGGAGCCATAAGGAGACTGAGATTGGCAGGATACACTGGCCACCATTTGCTCCAGGCATGGTCACAATCTAACATGGCAACAAGCAAGCAGTTTCCCAATAGCTGGAACATGAAAGTCTGTTGTTGAGGACAGAGACGTCCAGAGGGCCTGCCCCACACAGGGCGGCCCTGCTTATGACTTCCTGCTCTGCACCCACAAGGGTCCCAGGCTTCTCAGGAGTGTCCTCCTAGGAGGAAGCAGCATTCCAGGTCCAGATGCAGACAGCTGTGTGCTTCCTCCAGCCTGTGGTGACTCATGCTAGGACAAGAAATTTGCTTCTTTCCCTGGATTCCCTGTCTCCAAATTCTAATCTGGGCAAAGCTGCCTTAAACTCCCTGAGCGCAAGACTCTCTGGATGGCTGGCGCACAAGATGGGTGGGGGGAACCAATGACGTCCAAAGAGTGCAGGGTCCAGAACAAAGGGGAAATTCAGGGAGGGAGATCATGTTTTCTCCCTGGCAAGGCTCCTGTGACCATCTGGCTAAGGGGGCTGTTATTCAGACCTCTGGACCATGGTCTGTTTGTTTTTAGGAGTTTGCAGCTGATTATTTTCATCAATTTCCTACACCCAATTGCACTACTCCCTTAGCAGCAAACCTGCACAGCCAGCGCGTCCTCTCAGCTGGGTTCACTGTTCCCCTTGCAGGGAACCAGCAGCACGGCTCTTATCAACATGTGGCCCCTGGGCCACGACAGAGCCTTCACCACTGGATGCCTGGGCCAGCCCACCAAATGTGCCAGCTGACATCAACCAGAGAGAGTGGAGTGAAGCAGGAGCATCTGGGAGAGCAGAAAACCCCTGATGGCCAGGCCAGCTACAGTGGCCTTTGGTGTTGTCATCCCAACTCTGAAAGGGCATTGCCAACCTTTTCTGCGTATCCCCACTGTGCAGGAGATGTAAAGATCTCGAAGAAACCTGAGTTGGGGGTTCAGATCCAAACTCCATTACTCTTGCTGGGTGGCAACTGAGCCTCCATTTCTTCCTCTGCTGACCAGGGATACTAAAGCTTTATGTCTCAGGGCAGTTGTGTGCAAATGCATATGCATATAATAATATATGTAAAATGCCTAAGACCCCATCTCTACATAGCAAGTTCTCAATAAATACTACTAGTTTCCTTCTCTTCAGGTGTGTGATACACTGGCCTTTCAGCTTCCCTGGCTCCAAGGACAGGTAAGAGGGCTGGTGTTCCTTACTCTGGGGGACAGGATGCAAGGACAAGGGCTTTCCTTCCCTAGGCGATGAGAATAGCCCATGTCTTCAAAGTAACTGCAGTGGCAACGACTGGTAACTTTTTACCTAGAAAGTCAAATCCAGATGGTTTGGTAAGATGTGAGTTTGGTTGCTCAGTGTGCCTCCTGGAGGTCAGCCCATCCTTGGGGTCAGAGTGATGAATGAGGGCAGCTAGGCTGGAGCAAAAACGGAGGTTGTCCTGTAGGAGGAAGGAAAAGGTCTTCCTACTGTAGGAACGGCACAAAGCTCTATGGGAAAGTCGGGCACCCCCTTAGCTGAGAATCTGGGGCACAGCAATTTCCAAACCAAGCATAATTTTTTAATTCTTTGTATTTTAACTTCTCCAAACTTTTCACTTTTGCCTTTTGGAAATGGGGGAAATGGGAATTCTTAAAATGTCTTGCCTGGCTTTCCACTCCCAGACCTACTCTTCTCCCCACAGCTGAGGCGCCCCCAGATCTTTGTGGCTCCCTTCCCTGAGGGTGATCAGAGGACTGGGCCTACCAGCTGGGCCTGCAGGGGAGGGCTTCGACTTTTTTCTCTTACCAGTTCCAATGTTGTAGCCAGCCCATTGCCTATACCCTAACCCCAAAGACTTGAATCTGACCCCAAACCTTAGGCCTATGGCTTCCAGACTTCCTCAAAGCTACCCACTGCCCTAGAATCTCCCGTAGTGCCCACTCCTCAGGTGCTGGCCGCAGCTCTAGCTGCTACAGAGCAATCCCTGGACCTCCAGATGCTACTGCTTTGAGCCCAGCCCCAGACAGGACACTTTGCTGTGTGGCTGAACTGGACCACACCAGCTCACTTGCAGCATCGTCTCACTGCTGGAATGGGGAGCGGGTCCCTGCCTTTAAGGAATCCACTGAACACAGGACAAAAGAGTTATGAATGAGCAAATGTCAACATAGTGTGAGAACTGCAGTAGAGACATGCAGAGCATGGAAAGGTTGCCCCACAGGACAAGAATCCACTCCATCCCAGAGAATGGGAAGGGGGCCAGGGAAGGGGGCCAGGAAAGCTGTGGGGAGAAAACGTTGTCCAATTTAGGGTTTAAAGGGAGAATAGGAGGAGACCAGAGCAGGACAATCCATTTTTCAGTGATTCAATGGTCACTCCCATCTTGACCATAATTTGGCCCTTTTGTGGCTGCTGACTTCCAATTCACTTAGTTTTTACCTCTGAACTAAAAATTCAAGGCAGAATCTTGTCCTATATTTAAAACTGGATTTCCTTCAGGAAACTCATTAGTAGCGGGGGCTTAGATGCAGTCCAGAACCCTTGACTGAAACCTTGCATCCCCTGATCTTTAGAAGAATCTCTGACTTCTCTGAGCTTTAGTTTCCTCATCAGAAAAGTAGACTAAAGAATTCCTCCCAGCACCTCACAGGGCAGTCTTATGGCTCAGATTGAAATAATGAGTGAACCTGCTTCATGAATGGGAAACCCTCAGCCCATGTGAGAATTTATCACAGCAGCAGATCTCCCCATGGGCTGACCCTACAGCTCCCCAAGAAATCAGGGTATCTAAGAGAAAAAATCCAAGTCTTTGTGTTTCCCCTCTTTGCACGGCTGTAATTCCTGGGTCTGTTGGTGAACATGTGCCTTACAAATGAGCTGTTACCAGGCCTGGCATTTCATATCTGATTTCTCTGGCAACTGTTTTTCAGTAGAGTAATCCCACCTGTGCAACAAGGATACATACTCAAGATCCCGTGGAATGAGCTTTTGTGTGACTAGACGGGTGAGTTCAATGGCAAGGAGCATGTGGTTGGGGGTGCCATTAAACAGAAAGGCAGGAGGAAGGAAGGGAGGTGGGAGGGAGGGAGCTAGTTCGAGGGGAGGGGAAATGCTCTCACTTGCCCGATGCTGAAGAAACCTTGGAGGTTAGCATGTGTGTGCACGCTGCTGACCCGCTCCCGGCCTCTCCAGCAGAGGCCCAGGGAAGGAAGGCTCTGGAAGAGAAACAGGGCTGAAAGTGACTTTCAATTACTTTTTCAACTGCTTATAGGAAAACAGGAAGAGTTTTCAAGGCAGGGAGCTCTCAGAGGCTGAGGTTCTCAGAGCTGGCGGGAGCCCCATTGACTTTGGTGGTGGAAGTGGACAACTGTGAGAAGAAAAGTCAACCACTGAGCTGGCTGGAGAGCCATCCTGAGCTGGGGCTGAACTGAGGGGACAGAGGGAGGAGCAGCAGATCCAAGCTGAGAAAGTGTACTCCCGATGATGCCTTGTGTGAAGCCCTGGACAAGTCACTTCAGTTTGGCCTGTAGGCCTCAGTTTTCCCTTGAGTGAAGCTGGAAGACTGGATTGTTCTATCTCGAAACATCTTTACTGATCCGTATAGTCTCTGATGCAGATGTCAGGTGAAGAAACTCAAGGAACGGAGGAGGGTGGCTGGTCACTCACCTTCCTCTCTGTCCACCAGATTGCCCATCATTGTCCACACTCATTTAGTGAGTTCCTAACACCAACACTTACACAGTTTTACAGAGTCTCTCCACCATATTACCCTGTTTGCTCCTCCCAGTATCCTATAAGAAAATAATAACTATGGCCCGGCCGGGCGTGGCTCAGCGGTTGAGCATCGACCTGGGATCCAGGCGATCAGGGTTCTATTCCTGGTCAGGGCACATGCCCGGGTTACGGGCTCAATCAATGACTCTCTCATCACTGATATTTCTCTCTCTCTCCCTCTCCTTTCCTCTCTCTGAAATCAATAAAGATATATTTAAAAAAAAGAAAAAAAAGAAAAGAAAATAATAACTATGTTTGATTGAGTGCTATTATGTGCTGAGCATTGTTATTCTAAGCCCTTTATAGATTTCATTTTACTTAGTCTTCACCATGATCACATGAGGTATAAGTATTATTGTCTCTGTTTTACTGATGTCCCCCTGCCCTGTCACACGTGAACTGGTACACAGAAAAGCTCCCCTAAGCCTGACCTCTGCAGTCTCCACTAGAGCTCTAGTCCCTGGGCCAGCTCCCACCTGTTTTCATTAGCCTTATTTCTACCCAGTTGTCCTTGTCTGCCTTCTCCCTCCTATCAGAGAGGGACCTTGAAATTATCTTCCTGATGCAGCAGAAAGAGGCCACTCAGGTAGGATGGGTGCTGAGGGAGATGTTGAGTTCCTTTCTACAAGTCTGCTCATCCCCAGAGAAGGGCTGGTCCCCCCAAGTCTCCCAGGGCAGCCAGAACAAGTGTCTGTTCTAAAAACTTGGCAGAATGTTCTTCCTTCCTCACTGGCTTGGGGATCTGAGGTCATGTCTGCTGGGCCAAGCTCTCCACCTGTGTCCTAGATCTCGACGCCTCTCTCTCCCGTACACCCTTCCCTCCCTGGCAGCCCATCTCTCCCTCTCTGCTGGCTCCCTCCCACCAACTGCAGCTGAGTACAGCAGAGTGAGCCGGAAGATGGAGTCAGGAGACTGGGAATCAGATCTGGCCCTGTCACTTACCAAATGCCTCACTGTAGACAGGGTCAGCTACATGGCTGAGCCTCAGTTTCCTTAACTAGAAATTGGGGTTCTGAGAGTAATGACCAGCACTTTCTCTCCAGTCTGATTTCCAGCTGTCCCCCCCCCCCCC